CTGGTCCCTCAATGACCTCCTCCCTAGCTGACAACTCTTTGTCAATATGGGTGCCTATACACATGCTCCAACACATTCTAATTAGAACGCATCAGAGCAGACTCAATTAATCGTGCATGTATATAGACACCCCATTATTCTTCCAATATTTTAATAATTTGTTTCCTTTAATTAAAATGTTTAAACTATTTTTGTCTTATCCTCTATTCTTTACATACCCAACTATTAATTATGCAGATTGGTAGCCTAATAGCTGTATTCAACTCAATACATTTGTAAGGAGGATTATGCTTAACAGTAGGGACCTACTGAAATCATGATTTTGTGATTTTTGCAGAAACCATGAAATTGGTAGGTCCCCTGTAAAAAAGCCCAGTACCTTTGAAAAAAACATGGGGACCCCATAAAAGCAGAAAAACAGCTAGTGAGGGGGGGGTGGGGAAAGGGGGAGCCTGCAAACAGAAAGCAGCAGGAAGCCCTAGTGTTTTGAAGCATGGTGTGGAAGGAGGGGGAGGAAGGGGTAGAGATTTATGTGGCAGAGTGCAGAGGCACCCCCCCACCTCTGATTGGTCAAAAGGTCCAGCAGTCCCACCCCTCCCTGGAGATTGACAAATATCCATCTGTCAATCTCTGGGGAGGGGCGGGACTTCTGGGGCACCTCAGCCAACCAGAGGTGTGGTGGGCCCCACTGGAGTCCACTTTGAAAATGGCAACCAGTGCCGTGCTTGGGCTGTGAAATTGGGGTACAGCCACCCCAATTTTGGTAAGTCCCTGCTTATAAGTTAGTTTTTGTAAGAAAAAGTGAGAACTGAAAGTGGTCAGAGAGCCCACTGCAGCCTTCTCAGCTTAATGGCAATTAGAATTTGGAAGAGGATTTCTAAGTATTATAGGAGTGAAATTTTGAAGTAGTTTTCCAAGCCAAAAATCAGGGAGCACAAGTACCTGAATAACTTTCAGACTGAACTGGAGAAGCTTATAGAAGAGATAGGAAGATATAACGGGTAGTTGTGTGTGTGTCATGGATGGAATCATGTACTTGCAGTCACCATATTTGGGTAAAAGCTACCCCCTTGTAGTGCGCTTGGTGCCTGCTAATCCCACGCTTCAGAGCTTTTGCTAGATTTCTGTCCCCCTCCCTGCCCTCGCCCCAAATACTGTATTTTGTTTGCTTGGGTTATTTTTTTACCTTCCTCTGCAGCATTTGGATGTTAGCCACAGATAGGAGATGCTTAATGGCCCAGGCGCCTTCTAGTGTTATGTGCCTATGAGACAGAGGCAGTTAAAAACCCTAGGCAGGTGTCAAGGCAGGGGTCCACAATTCAGTCACTACCAAGGGCAAGGTTATATTTTCCAATAGAGAGCTGCTGCCTAGTTACACATGCAGTTTTATCAAGTCTCCAGGACACTGTTGGTACTCTGCACACATTCCACAGCCTGTAAATTATGGACCCACATTGGAAGGTTTCAGCAAATCTTCGTGTCATGGTTTTGCCTTACTTGTATGTACCAACAAGCCTCACACACTTCATCTTAACCTACTGTAGATTATAAGCAGGCCAGGGCAAGTACATCATCTTGTGTTTATCTGTAAAATATTGGGCAGCATACAATTATTTTTAATTAATTTGAGCTATATTAATCAACACATTGGATAAATATTGGCTTGGGATAGTTTAGGAATATAATTTTTATATTTGTGTAGGGGGTTAGACCAGGATGATCCTCGAGGTCCTTCCAAGCCTGTGATTCTTTGAAATTTGTTTTAGCCACTGGGAACAACTGTAAAAGATTTAAAATACAAAAAAGAGCCTGATTGGGTTCTCATTCTACATATCAAATGAAAGTGTTACTGAAAACAAAGTCTTTTCTGCCTCTAAATGTATAGCTTGTCAGAAGCAACATGTTCCCACTTACTGCAGCAGAGGTACAGAATTGAATAAAGAAAGCATGCATAGCAGCAGCTGCAAATTCTGTTGTAAAAAAAGAACGAGTTAAGTGTGTACAGCTCTAGTTTTTAAATAGCAGTCAGGAAGCTCTGTGTTGCCAATGGGCATAATATATTTAGGACTATGCAGAAGCTACTGCAATGGAAAAGACTTGAGTGTTATTTCTACAGGCAACATTGATGGCAGCTCCTTCTTCTGACAGTTCCTATAAAATCAGAGCAACTGCAGGGCTCAGTTCCTAACCTTCCAGCATGCTAGGCCTCTGCAGTCCTCTTACTAGAGCACCCAGGGCTGCTTCCAACCCCAGTGATTACTCCACAATATGTGCATAAGTGTAATATATTTATATATGCACACGCTCGGGTACAAGTCACCAGTAGCAGGGTTCTTCTCCTTTCAATGTTATAAGGAAGTGGAGGAGAAATACCTTGTATATATTATCAACTATCATGCTTCATGGACACACGAGTTTATCAAAAGTGGGCATAATCCCTAGGTTCTACATGCTGCCAAGACAACCAGGCCTGGTTATCTCATTGTGGCTTTTCTGATAGGCTGCAATTTCTACAGCAATATGTTGCATCTCAGACCTTTCTTGTGAATGTGAAATTTGATTCTTTAAAAAACCATGTACCTGCACTGAAACTTAATGTTGGATCTAAAGTGCTTTTAATTAACCCAATTAGTAATTCCATGATTATAGACAGGATTATTTCTTAATAATCATTTAATTGAATACTGGTAAATTTTTAGGGTCAAGAAATGATGGGACGTTGCACTTACAAGCTTGCCTTGAGTGACAAGCTACAAAACCAGAGACCAACTGGGCACGATTACATGTAATGCTACGTTGCTGTAGCAATGCCCTATGGCGATGTAACATTGGTGTTCACAAACCGTGATGCTGCAGCTACATTGCTGTAGCAACATACACCCTCATTATAGTGCATTGCTATGGCGACACAGCAGCAAAAATAACTGTGTGGGGTGTACGGCACAGTACAGGGTGTTACTTTACCATTTAGTAGTTCCTTTCGGAAGTACTAAATGAAAGTGCAGGAACAATGGCACCATACAGGCACACGTAGACTCACCCACTGAGTTCAAATTTTCCAAGTGCAATAATTGCCTTGAAGTACGCTTATTAGTGGGAACAATTGTGGTTGCAAAACAGAATTTCAATACAAAAATAAGGAAATATACCTGCGTCTTCAATGGACAGCATGTAATGGGTTGTAAAGAGATCAGTTTTTGCCACTTCAGTGAACAAAGTGAGTTAGCTAATCCTCAGAAGATCTTGGTCCCAGAAAACCCTGGAATAAAATAACTACCCAAATCAAGAGACTAAAGGGATAATAAAAGAGTATAACATTGGAACCAATTTATAAAAATCAAACTAGTGATGAAATACCCCTTAGCTAATTTATACCCTGTTGCTATAGAGATTCTGATTCTTAGAATACTTGCATAAGACAGCTGGTATAAAACTTGCTCAGCAAGAATTCATGAATAGTTGAAAGACCCGCAGCCATAAAATATTCAGTGCCTTCCTATCGGACACAACTGCATCGGCCAAATCACAACTGGCAAGTTTGCTCCAAGCAGAAATGCCCTGGATTGGCCCCAATGCCCATCATTATATATAGACAGAACTTTGATATGGGGTCTCTCTCTCCCCCACACACCCCTACCCCATATCAAAGTTCTGCCTGCCATGTGCCTCATGGCTGCACTGGTCTAGTGAGGAACACCTATATTTCATGGTAAATCACTGCTTCCTTCAAAGGCATCAAGCTGTTCTAGAATGCAGTAGTCAGACTGAAGAAGTCTGAGTTGGACCCCTACAAAACTTAGTGAGTTTCCTTTCAAGGCACAAGTTGTGCAGCTATTGCCAATAGGGTGGGAGAGGGAGTGCCCTCTTTCTTGATAGGCCCCAGTTTCCTATCAGGTTACTGCATAATTTCCACATAACTAGGTCCTGATAAGAATATGTAGTGGTCCTGTAGTTTCAGGCTTTTGGGGCATGTAGGCAAAACAGAGGGCCTAAATTAAAGCAGTGGGTTTTAAAAAACAAGGCTTCAATTTAGGGCTGGTTAAACCCCCGTGTCATGCACACACCCTGCTGACTTACCTGCCTCTCCAGCAGGGAGGGGAGGGCGAGCTGCCGGCAGGTGGAGTGGTCCCTGGGCTGTAGGGGTTGGTGCTTTCCCCCGCAGCAGCTGCAGCCCTCCCGTGCAGCACCTGGCTCGGGTGGTCCTGGGGGAATCACAGCTGCAGAGGGAAGTACTGGGACCCTGTGCAGCTCAGACAGGCAGGCAGGCTCGGGGAGGGGGGGGAGAAGAGATCAGGCTCGCCACTTTTCTTGGGTGGAGCTGCTTTCTTGGGCTGCTGTCAGGATGCCTGCAGGGCTTCCTGCAGAGCTGTGGAGCTGCACAGAGCCCAGTGCTGTAGGGGCAGCAAACAAACACTTCAAAGGAGTTTTAGTTTGTTGTGCCCCAAGTCATTAAGGCGCATTACACTGCCGAATTTCCTAGAGCGGCTAGAATTAATGTACAATACACTGCCAAGGTGAGCAAACACCTACACCATTATAGTGCGACATCTGTGCTGCAAAAACTCTATGGACAGTCTGTTCTGGAATAATAATTACCTTATTCTGGAATAATTATTCTGCTATGGCTATACTGGTAATTTTCCTTGTGTAGACAAGCCTTTGATCTAACAATTATAATGAGTTTATACATAATCAGCCCAGATCCTTCTTATTGGTCAGCGTAGTACAGTAACCACTTAATCCATAATTATTGTTATCACATGGTATCCAAGTTCAGTTATTTTGTAGGTTTTCAGCATTTAATTATTTTTACTGGTTATCTGAAAGTCTCTCCCTCTGTTTCAGTCTAAGATACTTGTCCCTTCAATGGGTAAAACAAATCAGTAGCTTCCCTGTACCATATCATCTGCAACTTCATCCAATCAAGATCAAGCAAAGACTAGTACTCCTAAAAAAACGAAAACAAATGTTTTATTTACAGGAAAAGATCTGTACACTGTGCATACATAAAAATATACAAAATCAAAATAGAAAATATAAAAGTGTTAAAATGTATACAAACACTGTTTAAAAATGTGACTCCTGTAAAATCTCAAGCTTTAATTTGTTGAAGAGTACACATTCATTTAAAAAAATCATCATACAAAATAATTCTCAAAGCTGTTAAAAAAGTACAGTCTTCTATATTTGAATAGTTGAAGGACTACATTTCATAGAGAATGTGATGATAAGGATAAACGTAAGGCTTTCACAAAGCTGATATTTCAAGAACAAAAATGTGAATTTCATCACCAAGTCAAAGAGAAGAAATTCATGGTGTCATGATCCATTTAATTAAATAAACCTATGAGAGGCATGCCCAGACATGGGCTACTTTAAAGTCCAAACAGTTAAATCAGGTATCCACTTGCACTGGAGAGAGGATAACACTTGGGAAATATCTATATGTTTTCTAATGACATTTTAACACTCTGCAGAAATACCCACTTCAGAAAGCAAATATAGCATGTCCATGAATGGAGACCACGTGAAGAGAAGAAGCAGAAAGTGAAAGTGATTTACTTTCAGAGATCATGCATTTAACATACATTTTTATCAGATGTGTGAATTGGTGTCTACACAGCATTTCAGTTTGAGAGCATCACTGAAGAATAAAACAAAAATAACTAGGTATGCCCGGATCTACAAACAGCTTGAGCTCCTATTTAATAGTCTGTTTTTAGCCAGTTAAGCTAAATCTGTGCAACTCTTTTATGCAGAGACCCAGTATTATTTAATACTAAACCATTTCAGTCTTGCTCAATTGGCAAGAAATGGACTTGCAGAAAATCCAAAGGGAATTATTCATCTGAAAGGAAGTTTCCATGCCAGAGGGTTGTACTCATTAGTTTAACTTTTTGCTCAGAATGTAGACCAGACAAGAATGTGTAGTTCAGTGTAATTATATGTTGATGTCTCTACCAACACATACAAATTTGTAATACAGGTGTTACTTCATCAGCTTTAACAGAACATAATAGTATAAACTGGCACAATAGGGAAGAAAACAAAGGACTGCAGTCTAATCCAAAGGAATGACTGCTCACAGGTAATCCTTGAAATCGTATAAGGAATGGGACAGTGAAAATAATCTGTCCACCAAAAAAGATGGGGTGCAAAATGAGCCAACTTCCGCATTTTCTCAGAGATGAAAAGAAGAATACCTTGATTTAACTATCTAAAGGCTGAATGCATAAAATGATAGAGAGCACCACATGTTGAATAAACTGCAGGATTCACAGTGGAAAACAGAGCATACATAAAACAAATTAAGAAATTCGGCACATTTACCCATGCTGTTTGTTTTTAAGTACAACTCTTTCACCTCAGTCACACACCATCAGTGCACAGGAACAAGGCTTTTATAATTTTTGAAGGCAATTTCCCTATATAGCAATAAAAGCACCAAAACTTAGAAGATCTGGCTTTGCAACAAGTTTAACAAGGGGGATGAGGCTAACTTGGGTATTTACTTTATACAGACTATGCTCCAGAGAAACGTTTGCACAGGTCTTGGCCAGCAGGTCTCCCACTTACACCAAGCAGCAGTTATGGGCTACAAGATTTTGCCTTGAAATATTTAAGAAATATGACTTGGATGGGAAAATGCTTTATTTGTCACTATATATGCAACATACGTCACAGGTCACCATTGTTAAAAAAGATGTCCCATGTCTTCCATGAAACAAGTATGATTGAAACCAAAGAAGAGCATTCTTGAAGTGAGGGAAGACATGTGAGGTCTGTAATTCTTCAGTTCTCATAATTTTGCTCTTTGCTTCCCTCCCTATATCTCGTACAGCAGCAAGCTGGAAGCAAGCCCTCAGTCAGTAAATCGGGTTCAGCTGAACTTGCATTGAATATTTCAGTGTGATATAGGGGTTACAAGGAGAAAAATCTTTTTTGATTATCAAAATGGCTTGGGCAGAATAATGAAACATCACAGGAAGAACCACCTTGGGAGGACTAGGACCATATACATAACAACTGATGCTGGGGTCTTTTTTTTTTTGGAAGAGGCTGGTGTCTCAGCTTTTTAAGTACCTGTTATGGAAAGATACTGTAGCACCCATCCATACAGACAGTTCAATTGTGGAAGGAGAACTGAAGAATAAATGAGGTATGATAGAGTGGTGTATGAAAGACAAAGCATAGGTCACAGCTTAAGAAACTATGCGTTATCTGGGAAAAGTGAAGATTTCTTGCCATGTATATATACTTGGACAAGAAAATTTGCACTGGAGTGCTCACTACTACAGAATGAAGAGAGGTGTGTGTTGATCTAGGTTGAAAATAGACAAATACATTTTTTGAATACTTGTACCCACATGTGTGGTTGCATTTAAGCTGGTAGTGCTTCATTTATAATAGGAGCACTTGCATCTTTTTTTTTGTTTACAGACTATATCAGTGGTATATAAGATATACTTGGGATAATCTGTCACCTAGGTGTAACACAACACAGTTTTATTGTAGATAGTTAAATACTGCCTGGTTCATATTTTGGTTCCTGATGGAAGCAAGAATATTGGCTTTGCATGGGAAAATGTATCAGAGAATGGCATGCTATTTTGCAGACTCTGAGAAACTCCTGCATATAAGACTTTAGCTTACTCATTTGTAACAAGAAGGTCACCAACTCCATTTGTTACAAATGTACAGTAGGTAACGTAATCTGGACCCAGTATAAGCGAAGGAGAAACTCTCTGATAATCCAAACAGCTGTAATTCCAATTTGCCTGGACTAAAAAGGCCTGTACATTTTCAGAAGCTGAATCAAAAATAAGGGAGAAATAAAAATTGTTTTTGTTTTAATATTCAGGTTTCCCAGAAACACAGATGGGTTGTTGTTTATCTTTTGTTTTAAAAGGTGCTGTCAAATATGATATTATTTAAAAAAAAAAAAATCAATTTGTAAAGTATCTGGATAAAGTTAGTGAAAACTGCTTTTTGAATATATGACAAAATTATTTACAAACACACTAATCTGCTCCATGCAGGGCCTGCATTACACTATGAAGAGATCTGTACCTTCTGTCAGCTGAGAAGAATGAAGGCTGAGTTTCTGCAATAAATTCTTTCTGTACTTATGGTGGATGGGAAACTGCATGCCTTCAAGGAGGAGTCGGGCTTGTGTGGAAAGTATTATGGAATTCAGAAATTTATACTGATGTCACTACAGAAAATGAAATGACTAATAATATAAATTTTACCATTACCAGCTGTCTATTAAAGTGGCCCAAAGCCAAAGTATATGCAATATGCTTCCCCCCATTATTTTTTAATAGTGTTTCTAGCAGCCAGTCACCTTTTGCTGACTGAATATTAGGAAATGTACACTATCTTGTACATCATCATTTTTCGCTGCATTTAGGTCACTAAGAAATCAAAAGCAAAGAACAGTATTCAGTCCAAAACTGAGGTCTTGCCAGGGAAAATATGTTTGAAATGCATTAACATTCAGGTGGATTTTTAGACGTGCCTTAGAGAATATTTGTGCTGAATTTTAAAAAGGAAAATTATCAGATTGTCTGAATGTGCAAGCCACAATAAGTTTTTTTTTTTGCAGGCGTTACAGTTCTTCTGCATGATATGGTCTTCATAACTTTAGATTGAAAAAAAAAATCTCTCTCAAAAAATCTCTTACTGCTTTTTCAAAAGCAATAAGTGAACGGGACTCGACTTGCAACAAAATATCCCACTTGTAAATCCTGAAATCTCCCCACTCAAAATTCTTATCATCATCCAAAAGGCAGTTCTACATTTCTGAATGACATCTTCATTAACAGCAGAATGTCTGTGTGTATACACATAAGGTAAGCTCTCTTATGGAGTTTATACACATGCCCTGGGAGGCAGGGGGATGCTTTAATAGTGTAGCTCCTAGAGCCACGCTAATTAAAAGCGCCTGGAGTGTCACATGTATCAGTGTCCCCAGGCTGAAAAATGGCAGCAGGATACTTTGAACTAAAGCTCATTAGACGATTAAATCAAATCTGCTCCGACGCACTGGAATTACAGCCTCCCTGCACGTGTATAGGAGCCCTTAGTTTCACAGGGCTTTATGTTCTACACACATATACCAAGGCAGAAGTCATTCCTGTGCAAAAGGGCCCATGAACCAGGTAGGCTTGTCGTTGCCCACCGGCTAGCAGTCTGCACAGGTGAATTTCATCCCTAGTAGATGCAGAATACGTCTCTTTCTGAAGGAAAAAAAGAGATTCTTTTGTCTTCATCCTTTGCCAAGTCAGCATAACTGCCTGACATGAAAGATAAGTGCAGCAGTATGGTACCCATTTAAATAGCCTGGCTAAGTGTACAGCAATATACATTTAAACTTGAGTAAATATCAATCACTAACTTCTGGTTACAGGAACTCTTTGATTAAAATGGAAAGCTCTTGGGTCCCATTCTCATTTGCGAGGGTCTCATCACACCACACATTAACACCTACTTTAAAGTCCCATAAAATGCCAGAAGGATGTAAATGGGATTCTGTAAATTAAATCAAGTTCTATCAACTGAATGCCCAGTTCAAAGCCATGATCATTTTACTTGAAATAAAGTGAATATCCCTTAGAACTGGGAGGAATCTCTCCTCTCCAGCTGACAGCTCTTTTTATGAACCATACAAGCTGGTTCACAATATTAACTTTAACTATTAAATAAATGCATTACAAAGTTGCAATCTAGAAACCACTGACATTTTCTGACAGGTCACACCCACAACAATACATTATCTCTCTGCCTAACTGTGACTTTGCATCTTTCATATGCTAAGGTTTTTGTCCCCCTCTAACTATTTGCAAAGCAGTAATAAATACTCAGGCTTAGGAAGTAAATAATTCTCATGCCTGCTACTTAATTACAGTTTATAGACCCAAGACTAGATTGGTCTAAGATACATTTTCAAGTATTCTCTTCTTGTTCGTAGAATGACAGTAGTACCCTATTGCACATTGTTTCTGAAAGATTCTCTTCTACAAGTGTAGGAAGTGGTTCTGTTCAGGGCACTTTACAGACCTGAATCCTGGCAGAACTACTTTCCCTTTCCGGTACAGATCGTCTTGCAAACCTTTGTTCATTCTCTGCACCAGCAACTTTTCATACAGTAGTGGATGATAAGCCCCCAAGGTACAAGCAGCATCATAGTACAGTTCGTGATAGTGACAAAGGTCAGTCTGTCGGACTGAAGGAATGTATTCATACACGTGCACTTCATCACACATGGACATCATGATGAGGATCCCTGAAATGAAATGTAAAATAAACATGAACATATTTAATCTCTTAGAATATTTTCCCAGCACATCAAGTGATCTACTTCCTTTACCACTTTTTCTTTGCTTTCATTGTTCTTAGTTTAAAATATCTGACATTAGCATAAATTAATTTAATAGACCAATTTTTGTTTTATGCTATTATATAAAAAGAATGTGCTGTCTTACAAAACTTCAAACCTCTTCTAGCTGATGGCGGCCTAGAAATTAGGTCTACCACTCCCAGATCAACTGCCCTAACTCCTAGACCAGGGGTGCTCAACCTCTAGTCCGTGGGCCAAATGCAGCTTGCTGAGATATTGGTATCCAGCTTGGAGGGCTACTCACAAATCAGGAAATTTGGCAGCAGAGGAGCAGTGGCCATAATTATGGCCACCCTCCACTGCTGCCAAATTCCCCAAACTCAAAATCTGCAGCTGGATGAGGCCGAGCCATGTCCCTCCCGTCGGGCTGAATGGGACAAGTGCTGGCATTTTGTGAAACCAAACAGCCCCCATGAAAGAATCTTAAGGCACCCCAGGATGCAATAGCACCCTGATTGAAAATCAGCAGATTAAGAGAAGGGAAGAGGGATATTTCTGTTTTATGTACTCTCAGAAATGTGTCTAAAGATTATTTAATATTTTAGAAGACATTTTCTTAAGAAGCAAGTTTTAGAAAAATTCAAGGTAGCTATAACTAATAAATGTACCATATTTCCATTAATTTATGAGAATACTGCCACTATGGCAGGCCACCATTCAAGACAATGCTATTTAGTGTGGCAAGCCAGAACGTACTTTGCTTTTCCCATCAAAAAGTTTGCAATTTGAAACTCAAGGGAGTTAAATCATAGGAAATCAGGGTTGGAAGGGACCTTAAGAGGTCATCTAGTCCAGCATTTCCCAACCTTTTTCACCCCACGGCACACTTGCCTAAGGAGCTGGGGGGTGGCACACGGCCAGCCGGATGCTGATGGGGAAGGGGGAGCATGTGGCCAGCCAGCTGGCATTCTGGGCTGGAGTCAAGCCCCCCCGCCTGTCTGTGTTGGCAACAGCAGCAGGCAGGGGGCATGGCTCCAGCCCAAAATCCTGTGGCACACCTAGACATGCCTGATGGCACACCAGTTGGGAAATGATCTAGTCCAACCCCCTGCTCAAAGCAGGACCATCCCCAACTATAATACCATACTTAAAACAGAAAATGTTATTTTAATGTTTAAATATACAAAATAATGGCTTAATATTTCATTTGCAGCTTGAAAATGCCCATTTTTCATTGCTCATTAATTCAAAAGGGAACATTCACAGAAATTAGTTATTCATACACTCATAGAAGTTAGGGGCTGGAAGGGACCTCATGAGATTATCAGGTCCAGCCCCCCTGCTCTTAGACAGGAAAGAGAAGACTGCCGGGGTCGGATGACCCCAGCAAGGTGCAGGTCTAGTGATCTTTTGAAGATCTCCAGGGTAGGTGACTGTACCACCTCTGGGGGGAGTTTGTTTCAGACTCTAGACACGCAAACCATAAAGAAGTTTTTCTTTATGTCTACTCTGAAGCGATCTTCACTGTTTATGTCCATTATTCCTTGTCTTCACCTGGTGTGCCTTGGTGAACAGGTGCTCTCCCAGCCCCTGATGTTTGCTTCCCATATACTTATAAGCTGCCACCAAGTTCCCCCTAAGTCTTCTCTTCTCTAGGGTGAACAGTCCCATGTCCTTCAGCCTCTCCTTGAATGGCCTGTCCTCCAGACCTCTAATCAGACCCAGGGCACCCCAGGGTACTCAAGGAGCTGGCGAGCATCATAGCCCAGCCTCTAGCACTGATCTTTGAAAACTCTTGGCGCTCTGGTGTAGTGCCCGAAGACTGGAAGAAGGCCAATGTGGTGCCTATCTTCAAGAAAGGGAGGAAAGTGGATCCGGCTAACTATAGGCCCATCAGCCTGAC